AAGACAGAAATGAAACTTTTCTGATATCATGTACTTGTTTAGAAGTACAACTTTGACTTCAGACAATTGAATATCTATTAAGAGTCATATATGGTTAACAAGTCTTAATTCTCTATTCAAGACAACTCTCTTGGCTTTCAACCCTTTTTTAAAAAAAATAGGAAGCTGTGATGCAATTACTCAATATTCTTTCAGTTTTGCTGATGTTTGGCAACATATCCCTTAAAAAGGATTTCTGCTGAATTCAATGTTTCTAAACAATTTTTGTGTCAGCAATATTTAAATAGTATTTCACCTTTAGGAAGAGAAATTTAATAAATTATTATAATTTTAGACTTATTTTAATATAGAGCTGTTCATTTACTTCAATTCTTGATTAAATTAATATTGGGATAATCGTTAATTGAAATTTCAGAGGGGGAAAATAAAAAGCATAGGAAAAACCCCCAGACCTCTCAGGATACCATTGGGAAGGAATGTCACAAAATAGATTAATTCAATACAGTGAGGAATTTTCCACAGAAAAGTGGATGTCTACTTTTATCTACAACTTCTGCAGTTTATAAATCATTGTCATGGCTTCCAGTCCAGGTCATCATCATCAATGCTATGATCTTTCTTATGGTTTTCAAATGGATACAGTTTGCATATACCACCCATACTGCAGTACTAATTTCTCCTATAGTTTCCATCTTTCTTGGCACCTCTATTGCAAATTCAAAGATGAAAGAAATTAAAAATTGCCAAAAGAAGCAAAGAGTCCAAGCATTCCCTTTCCCTTCTCTTTCTTCCATTTCTTAGCTAGTTGCCAGATGTTTCTGTATAAAATTCAGGAATTTGTGATATATGCTGGTATATTAAAATAGGAACAATCCTCACAGTGCAAGCTTTTATCTCCAATATATGCATCCCTAATTACTGAGCTGACTGGCTATGTGGAAGAAAGATTGGAATAGAGGATATAACATGCTTGTTTTCTCCTAAGAAAAGAATAAAATAAAACAAAGGTTAGAGTTGAATCAGTCATGGAAAGAGATAAAATATCAAAGATTTAAAAAAGAAGACTAAATCCACTCTAAATCTTTATCCTAATACTGTAACATCTGGTTCACAAATATGGCACGTAATACATATCACAGCCCATTTACCTGATGTGACTTTTTTATTTCAATATCTTAAACTTTCCCAAGCAATTGTTCCAATTGTTTTCTCCTGCAAATATTACTTCTCTATGCTACTGAATGACATGGGTATGGAATCAGTATATTGACTTCAGTTGATGCAGAAGAGCAGNTTCCTTGAAAACAGCCATGGGACAACAGGGAAGTTTGGTTAGGAGTGAGAGAGGAAGAATACATTGACTTAGCCATTATCTACAGTGGACACAGAGCATTGCTTAGTGGGTGTAGCAATAGCAATAGCACTTAGATGTATATACTTCATCATAGTGCTTTACAACACTCTTTAAGTAGTTTACAGAGTCAGCATATTGCCTCCAACAATCTGGGTCTTCCTTGACTGATCTCAGAAGGATGGAAGGCTGCATCAACTTTGAGCCAGTAAGAATCAAACTCCTGGCAGTGAGCAGTGAGTTTAGCCTGCAGTACGGCATTCTAACCCCTATGCTACCACTGCTCTTATTTCCCTTTGCTAGACTAAAACAGGACTAAGATTAAATCTGATGCTCATTCTGTGGGAGGGTTTGGCTTTATCTCCTACCCTTTGGGAAGGTAAGGAATATGAAAGATAAATTAAAACTATAAACAGTAAGCTGAAATGGCTGATCTGAATGCCCAGTCTTTGCTACAGAAAATGAACTTTCAGTGTCTATAGTCTACAGTGGTGTCAGATTATTCTAATAGGATATATTATCCCTACAGGTGGGATCCTACATCTAGAGAGTAACTATATATCTACTTCTTGCAAGAGACTATTTTCTGAAGAATTTTCCAGCCATGTGGGCAGGAAGTTTCTGCCCTCTGATACCTCCTAAGTGACATAGGTGTCCATAACTTCATGCCAATGTATTTCATCACTTCTAGAGCTTGAAGCACCACTTGACAGCTTTTCATTGAGATCTACCAGCATTTCTGGGATGTTTGAACTTTATCAATGTCTCTTAGTAGACCTGTTAATCATATAGTAATCACTCTGGGTGAGAATGGGACATTATTCAGATTAGCAACTAGCATAAAAATAAAGGTGTGGCTAGATTATTTTACCCTGCCTGACCTATCTTTGCTCTGGGGGATGAGTTGACACAGCTGTTTGGCCCCTAGCAAAGATGGATGCAACAGGGGAGGCTCTTACGGCTAAGGCCAAAGTCTTGTGCATTGTCATTAAAATAAAATCCCTTGAGCTGTTCCCCATGGGTTTGGAGATGTGCTCCATATCTTTACTGTCTGTTCCAAAACCAGAGCTGTCATAGAAATTACTGGAGGGATCTTGAGAAGGTCTAGAGTGCCTGTGGAGAATGCCACCCTAGAGCCTCTATTGTTCTTAATGATTTTATTAAAGATCATGTGAAATAGAAAATCTGTGATGTTAGCTACTGAGAATAACTCTCCCAGAGGAAGAAATGAAACTGCCAAAGCAGGAATTCACAGTTTTAATGTTAGGGAGAATCTTTAGTCAAGATCAAACCCTCTCAAAGCCAGCAAGAGAATAGCCAGTCCATTGACTTGCAAAAGGGCGAATTTAAACTTAAACCATAGTCAGGAATATCTGGGTTGATTCCTGTGTACTGTCATATATGGTTTCATACATAAATAAACTTATGAGCTTTCTGTCATAAGTTAGTTATACTAGTTCCTGTGTACTGTAATATTTGGAGAGTTGAGATTTTCAGCTTTATCTCTGGCAGTTCCATGAGGAAATCCATCAGGTTGGGATGGAGGGTATTGCATAGTTTTCAAAATAGTAGGAATGATTTGCTTTTTGAAAGAAACTGATGGATTTAGCAGAAGGCTATTGGTCTCCTTCCCACTCAGGGACAACTCCCTTCCTCCTCATCCAATGTCCTGGAGGAAAGTAACTGTAGTTACCGAGTGTTTCTTCTTTATTCTGATGGCTTGGGCTCAAAAGGTCTCCAGATGAAAGAGGGGTATAGAATGGGGGAAGACAATGTTTAATAAATAAGCTATGGCTTTGGGTGAAGAATCCTGGGCTCATCAACTCAAGCCATTTGAGAGATCCTCCAGTATGATTCCCGTGAACAACCCATGAAACTGTTGGCATCTTGTGCTTGATCTTCAGGGAAATAACAGCAAAATAAGAAGGGAAAGGGGGAAATGTCTAAATTAAGAGTCTGTTGTGAAGCTGACATGTTGTGGAGGAAGGACTGTGCTGTCTCCTCTTGCAGGAAGCAGTATGAACTCTAATCCAAGTCTGCCTCCTGCCTTAGGATAACCCAGCTCCATGCACTTATGCATACATAACTAGGGACGCATGTAGATTTCTGTCTAGTTTGGACAGGAAAAAAAATACTTTAGCAGAATTTTAGTTTGATATGTTCTGGAATTTTCAGAGTTCCTTCCACTAAAGCTTCATGTAGTTCTGGGAAACTCCAGTGATAGAAGTAACAAAGAAATTGATTAAAAAATAAATATGGAGCATCCTCTTCTCCAAATAACATTGGATTAGTTCCATTCATTTAATCTTGCCAATCTATCATTGTTTTGTCATGGAAACTATTATTAGAAAGGATCATTTCCTCTTTCTTAAGTATCTGTCTACTTGCCATATTGTACATTAATTCATTTCTATAGAACATGGCATATGAAGGAATAATGGATTTGGAGCTTTTTAGCTATATTGCTGTTTGGTTGTTAAACATTTTAAAAGAATAATCAGTATTTGGAAAGTTGATAAATTAGCACTAGGATTTTATAGAATTAGGAAGTCGATTATAAAACCACATAGAAGATCAATTGAAGGGTGCTTACTACATCAACTTAAGAATTTAAAAGACTTCCTACACAAAGGGCACAAACAAAATTAATAGTGAAATATATCAAACATTCACTAGTTCATATTCATATTTATATTAAGATTTAAAGTTACAACGAGAAATAAAGAGAGTCTTCTTTAAGTGGAGAAGACAGATGATTGTTTTCTAATGTTTCTGTCTCTAATAAAAATACTCAGTTTTATTATTGAAATCTTTTTCTGTTGTTGCAGGGTTATAGCTCCCCACAGGAGTTCATTGCTACCCAGGGGCCTTTGAAAAAAACTCTGGATGATTTTTGGAGACTGGTATGGGAGCAGAACATCTGTACTATTGTGATGTTGACAGTGGGCATGGAGAATGGACGGGTAGGTCTACAGAGGAACTTATTATTCCTCACTGACACATCAATGCTTCTGAATAATGAGTGGACCTGAATAAATATGAGGGAGAGAGAGACTTATTTTCATGAATATTGTCAGAATCCTGTTTTTCTAGATCTAGTGGAAGGTTAGACTAGACCTTGTATGCAGATACTTAACATATTCCTAAAATTTCTGTTGGATTGCAGCGTTGTGAAATTATGATATTGAGTTAGTTGGGTGAGCAAGTTATTTCAACAGACATTTGTTGTAGAAAAAGCATTTGTTTGAATTACTGTATATTGATGTTACATACTGCAGCCGGTCACATAGTATGTTGGGATTTACAAGTATATTTCTGGGCAATATGTGGTAGATGAGCAAGAGTTTTCATTGCCCAGTTATTTACTTGTGATCTTATATTATTGTTTCATTTTCAGTCTCTGTAATTCTGACCAGTAAAATATGAATGTCATTGATCTATTAATGTTTCAGATGTAGATTTATGTTAATTGCACTGTGCTTCATAAGGTGCAACAGGTAGCTGACTCTGATCTCTCATACCCTGTTTTCCATCTGTTTTTAATTGGTGGAATAATCAGCCTATGCCTACTATATGTATATGGTATATACATTACACAAAACATCTTGAGCAAGGACAGCCACCAACAATGTGCTTTAGTGTTGGCATGGCTATTTTTTACTAACATTGTTTAAATTACTCTTTCTTCTAAACTTTTGAAAATGTGCTAACAGTCCTCTATTTTTTTTATAGGTGTTATGTGAATACTACTGGCCAACAGACATCTCTCCTGTCTCTTCTGGAGAAATTAGCATCCATCTGCTGGCTCAGAATTTTGCTGATGAGTGGACAACACGGGAATTTAAACTGCAGCATGTAAGTGGAAGCCCTACAAAGTACTCCCAAATCTTCTCAAATCAAAACAGCAAATAAGTTCTGTTAATCATTGTGCTGTGATATTGATACTTAGTAGTAGGGCCTCTTACTGGAGCAGCTTTCTTCATTGCAATAGTTGAAATCCAACAAAATTATCTCACATAGTACCAGGGCAAGGCTGGTATTCACCTGCAATTTTAACAGTAGGACCTAGTCTGTGATATAACATGTGATAACACAGTCATTTGATTCTGCCAGACTGTTAATTCTCTTTGTTGGCCTAGACCATTACCTGATCTCTTGTTATAGACATTAACATAGTCCTTTCCTATTACAGAAAGGACTAAATATGGAACGAAGATTAAGTCACTTACACTACACAGCATGGCCTAATCATGGTATTCCTGAGTCTACCACCTCCATGATTGCTTTCATAGAATTGGTACGAGCACATATGCAGAGTGTAAATGAATGTGGACCTATCCTGGTGCATGGTAGGTAAGTTGCAATCAACCGCCACGAATGCTCTCTCCCTTTTTTTCTTTTTAGAATATTTCAGTTAAATTTCCAAAATCTCCTTCAAAGTCACCTTGTTCAATAAAGATATGTGTCTCTTTACTTATTGATCCTCAGCCCCCAGAAATGTTAAGTATAACTCTTGGCTATGAAAATACTGCCCATGCTAAAAAAAAAAAAACCCAAAGGAATGCTTTTTAACCATGGCGACAAGAAAGTCTCAATTACAAGAACTGTATTACGTCTTCCTCATCTTCTGAAGGAACAGGAGTTACTTCTTGCCCAATTCGCTTGTATGTTGGATTTTGAAAGAATGGTGGTGAGGATGGGTAAAATGAACCAAAACGTGAAACTTTTCACTGAGAGAATCCCTGGTTTTCCTTCTATTGCAGTGCAGGAGTGGGTCGCACCGGCACCTTCGTTGCCCTTGATCGGCTCCTACAGCAATTAAAGCACGAGAAGCTGGTTGATATCTTCAATACTGTTTACAGTCTTCGAATGAATCGGCATTGTATGATAGAGACACTGGTGAGAAAACCTGAACCTCTCTCTTAGCTCTGCAACTATCCAATTATTTAAGGATACGAGAAAGTTTTTTCCTTCCCATGAAATATTTGTCACCAGTGGAGATGGTGAAATTATAGTGGAAAGGAATCCTTCAGTGGTGGGATTCAAAAATTTTTTACTACTGTTTCTGTGTGCATGGCTTGGTGGGCGTGGTAGGGGAAGGATACCCTCCCAATCAGCTGGGACCTGGGAGGCAGAGAATAGATGGGGGCGGACCAGTCAGAGGTGGTATTTACTGGTTCTCCGAACTATTCAAAATTTCCGCTACCGGTTCTCCAGAACTGGTCAGAGCCTGCTGAATATCATCTCTGGAATCCTTCATTATGAGGAGGAGCTTAAAACCTCAGTAATGAGAACTGATGATCACCAATAGATGAATACATGAAATAGATGAGTATTACACTGGAATGAGTGGACTATGACCCATGTACAGTTTTCTGCCCTTTTTGTGTGGCTGTTTGCAGCCCCTGAGATGGTGCTAAAGATCAGTTGCAAAACTCTGTCCTGCCAATTTTCAGCAGGAAACTAATTGAAATATTGTAAGAGATCAGAGACATGTTCCAGATGTTATAAGAAGCAGGTATTTCAAAATGAGGGCTCAGTAGGAAATTGTGCTACATAGAAAATGTGAAAAGATATGGTGTGCGAGATCCTATCAAATCTAGAGATCATTCACAATATCACCAACTGGATTACAGTCTTTCAAACTTGTCCTGCTTATCTTTGTCTCCTACTTAAATCCCCAGGGTTAAACTTTTCTATAATTTTGATAACCCACACAGGGATGAAAAAAAACCCCTCTCAGTGTTGCACCTCAGTAGCATTAGATGTAGCATTTCTATTTCAAAATGTGCTGTGTAGATAAAACATATGTTCTGCTTCCCAGGGGCAATACATTTTCCTGCATAGCTGTATCCTAGAGAAGATCTCTGAAGACCCACTCATTGGCCTGTCAGAGATGTAAGTTTCTTTCCACACATACAATCCCTTGTTAGGTCTCCCATCATATCTATCATTCTTAGCTTAATAGTGCTTACCCTACAAAAATTATCAACCATGGAAACTTTCTTATGTCTTATCTTCAAGCAGATCAGCACTATATTGTGCCTGATCAGAGTTTGTACATGTATAAGGCTAAGGGGAACAAATCTGGGGACTTTTATTTCTCATTGAGAAGGACCTTTGGGAATCAGATATCCATGCAATGTACTAATATGAAATATTTTTGTCCTGCCCTGCATTACAATAACATCAGCTTCCTTTCAGAACAATTATAGAATTATCCACTTTTATTCTTAATCTTCATTAGTACTTTGCCCAGCATACTGATGTCTGCTCTATGTCTACAGTACACACAGTACAATATGATGTCTATAGTAATATCAAGCAACAATACAGGATATTTATAGGTGCTGATTTTTCTGCGTAAAATTGTCATCTATGATGTTAAATTACTGCAATCAGCAGCTAAGTAGACTTATTTATTGTCTTTTCAAGCTCCCATCCAGTCTCTCTCAAAAGTTTTGTTCAGCACCATGCAAAAAACTGTTCTCAGTCCAATGCTGGCTTCCTAAAGGAATATGAGGTAAGATTTTGGCATTAGGATGTTGAGTTTAGGAAAATTCTTCCTGTGTATAAATCCATAGCAGAGGCCCATGTGCAGTAACAACATGACTAGACAGGGTTGATAAGTATCCTTTCTGAAATCCTTAGAACTCCAATTAATCCGTGTCTAAAGTACTGGGTTAAATGAAGCCTCAGTATATAATTCAGTTTTCTATATTTACTTTCCTACCCTGTTTCCCTGAAAATAAGACCTCCCCAGATAATAAGCCCAATTGGGCTTTGAGCGCATGCGCTCAAATAAGCCTTTCCCCAAAAATAAGCCCTCCCTGAAAATATTGCAACACAGCAGCAGCCATGAGGTGACCACACTTGCCGCCTCCTACACCTCCAAAATAATAAGACCTCCCTGAAAATAAGGCCAAGCACTTATTTTGGGAGTCAAAAGAAAACAAGACCCTGTCTTATTTTCGGGAAAACATGGTATGTTGTTCCATGTATTTATTCAAGTAAAGTTTTTCTCCCTCAACAGTTTTTGTTTAAAACATAAGGTGTTGAATGCACATAAGCTGCACATTCCAATCTATATGACCTTTATTGTTGTTGTTTGTTATAAATTATAGGCTGCCCAACTCCCAGTGACTTACAGACATTTGGCTGAATGTTTGGAAATACTGAGGAGCATAGTTACTGTATTGATCCTTCCCATACCCACAGGGACAGGATTTTGCCATGCTCTTTGTGAATAAAAATAATGTCAGTTAAGCCAGGGCTGAGCTTGTTAATCAGAAAGGTCGGCAGTTTGGCGGTTCGAATCCCTACCGCCATGTAACAGAGTGAGCTCCTGTTACTTGTCCCAGCTTCTGCCAACCTAGCAGTTCAAAAGCATGTAAAAATGCAAGTATAAAAAATAGGAACCACCTTTGGTGGTAAAGTAATAGCGTTCCATGCGCCTTCAGCATTTAGTCATGCCAACCACATGACCACGGAGGCATCTTCGGACAGGCCTGGCTCTTCAGCTTTGAAACAGAGATGAGCACCACCCATAGAGCTGGAAACGACTAGCACATTTGTGCGAGGGGAATCTTTACCTTTACCTAGCAATTTTCTAGTCTTAAGTTTTCCTTTTCTACTGCATTTGTCTTCAGCAGATGCTCTTGGAAGTTGCAAAAGAGGAAATAAATTCTGCCATACCACCCTCTGTCAATCAGCAAATCAACCTTAGCTCCAGCAAGATACCATGTGAGTGATAGAGTTTTGTAGCCAATAAAAACATGTCTTAGATGTTTGCTTAAGGAGAACAAAGGACTCATCCACATAGCCACTCAGCTGTGATTTCCTATGGAGTCAGAGTCCAAGGTAATCATAGGGAAGTAAATCGTATCAGCATAAATCGTGCTGTCCCCACATCATGACTTTCATATGCATCCGAATTGGGATCATGCTGAGCTGCTGCCCTATAACCTTTCCATATGACGCTATAAGGGCAGTAATATAAAGTTTTCTCTGATTGAAATTTGCCATTAATTTCATAAGCATGCATGATGGGGTGCTTATAAGGTCTGGACTTTCCAATCACTATTTTTGTTCTATTATTTGTTCCTCAAAGAACTTTTGCCCATATCAACCTAGCAATTGTTAAATGGTGAGAAACACTTTGTCTTTCTTAATTACAGTATATCCATTGTCTGGATTTATGCAGCTGTGATTGGTTATTTGATAAGACAGATTGGAAAGTTTGAGGAATCAATGTACTGATCCCTGTGTCAAATTAAAGTATTCCTCTGAAATATCCCCAGATCAGGAGAGCTCAAATACCCAAGCTATTCAGTCTTGGTAGGATTGAGTCAGAGACAGTTTCTCTTGCCCAGTCTCCAGGTAATGGAACTCTTAGCCATTCCAAGATCAAAAAATATAATTGAGTATCATCAGCATACTGGTAATATCAAATCCCAAACCTATTGATAACCTTGGTCAATTGTCCTGTAAATATTAAAGGTGTATCTCAGAAGGATATCATGGTCAGTATGATAGTACAGCAATTTGTAGGAAGTCATTGCTTTAGTTGTGGCTCTCCCAGAGGTTAGGCTTCCTCAGAAAAAAAAGTTACAGCCTAAGTAAAATCCTTGACATAAAAAAGCTAATTGCTCTGAGACTTGTAGAGTCCATAGCAAGAACTATAACAAAAAAGCTAAATTAACTCGGCTGAGATAAAAGAGATGTGGTGATAAGCGTAGTGCTGTATGCACTCAACTGAACATGATACCTAATATCTTCCAACCATTGTCCTTCACGCTAAGTCTCTTTTGCAGATGATCGCTCTAAAGTGAAGTTTTTACCACTGGATCGAGATCCATTCTCAGATCTTGCACATGTCTGGTTCATCCCTGTGAGTCCACTATACTTTATATTCTCTTCTTTCTGCTTTCTGTTATTGCAAAAATATTTCTTTGCTGCTTGTTGTATTTATAAAAGGAATAATTCACATGCATATTATTTTTTCTATTAATCTAAAAGACATATATTAATATATAGTTTAAAATTATTATTTAATTATTATTATTTAATTATTTTGTATGCCGCCCACTCCAAGATCAAAAAATATAACTGAGTATCATCAGCATACTGGTGCTGATGATAGAAACTCAGGGCGGCTTACAAGTAAAAGTCCCATTCTTGCCCCTATGTAGTGTGTGTGTGTATCTTCCCCAGTGGTGGGGTTCCTATTTATTTTACTACCAGTTTGCTTGTTCACTCATGATGCTTC